GATGGCAAAGAATTGGAAACTGAGGGATGCCCATCAATTGGGGAATCCCCAAGCAAGTTGTGTTACATGAGTATGATGGGACATTATTGTGCATCATTAAGAAATGATGAAGGGGGGGCGGAGCCAAGATGGCAGAGTAAAAGCAGTGACTTGCTTGAGATCTCCCCCAAAGCCCTCCAAATACCTGTAAAAAATGTCTCTAAACAAATTCTAAAGCAGCAGAACCCACAAAAAGACAGAGTGAAACAGATTTCCAGCCCAAGACAGCCTGGATGGTTGATCAGAAAGGTATATCACGCTGGGCTGGGAGAGGATACAGTTTGGTGTGGGCGCACAGGCCGCAGTGGCCCTGGAGCAGGCCTCAAAGGACTGAATCGCGAGCAGCTATGGTGGTTTCCAGACTTCTCAACCCATGAATGCCAAAGACAACTTAGAAGGTCAGTGGGAAAAATCTGTTTCTACAGTGGTGAGAGAGGAGCACAGGGTCCCAGTCCCATTCCTTAGGGTGGCAGCTGCTTCCTGAGTTTCTGGCCCACAGACTGAGGGGGAATCGAGTTGTTGATCAGAGGGGGATTGCAGGGATCTTTCTGCTGGTGCAGGATTCTCTTGCTTTGCGGTGCTTGGATCTGGGTCACAGTTCTGGGTGGTGGTCTTGAGGTGAGGAGGAGCACTGGTGCGGTGGAGCTTGTAGTGGCTGTGGAGAGGAAACCCACCTCACAGTTCCAAGACAGAAAAGAGTACTCATAGACCAGAGCACAGGCCAGGAAAGGACACCTTATCCTTGATCATAGCACCTTGGAAGAACTGAAAATTTACAGGTTCCTAGAAGTATCTCTGAAAACAGCTGTGCAAAACCCCTGAAGCTTGGGACAGTACATTCTCCACACTGGAAACAGACTCCTACCTTAACAAAGAGTCTATAACTCAAGTAATTGGCTGAGATCATGAGTAAGCAGTGCAAAAAGAGTCAGACTATATTATCTTACTTTGGTGACAAAGAAGAGCAAATCATATAACCAGAAGAAGACAACAAAGCCAAAGCTCCTACACCTAAAGCCTCCAAGAAAAACATGAATCAATCTGCTCAAAAGGAATTTTGAGAAGCAAGTAAGAGAAGTAGAAGAAAAACTGAAAGTGATGCAAGAAAATCATGAAAAACAACTCAACAGCTTGCTAAAGGAGACCCAAAAAAATACTGATGAAAATAACACCTTAAAAAATAGCCTAACCCAAATGGCAAAAGAGGTCCAAAAAGTCAATGAGGAGAAGAATGCCCTAAAAAGCAAAATTGGCCAAATGGAAAAGGAAATCCAAAAGCTTACTGAAGAAAATGCTTCCTTAAAAATTAGAATAGAGTAATTGGAAGCTAATGACTTTATGAGAAATCAAGACACTGTAAAACAAATCCAAAAGAATGAAAAATTAGAAAACAATGTGAAATATCTCATTGGAAAAACAACTGACCTGGAAAATAGATCCAGGAGAGATAATTTAAAAATTATTGGACTATCTGAAAACCATGATCAAAAAAAGACCCTAGACATCATCTTTCAAGAAATTATCAAGGAAAACTGTCCTGATATTTTGGAACCAGAGGGCAAAATAGAAATTGAAAAAATCCACCGATCTCCTCCTCAAAGAGATCCCCAAAGGAAAACTCCTAGGAATGTTGTAGCCAAATTCCAGAATTCCCAGATGAAGGAGAAGATATTGCAAGCAGCCAGAAGGAAACAATTCAAGTACTGTGGAAACATAATCAGGATAACCCAAGATTTGGCAGCTTCTACATTGTATCCAGAGGGCTTGGAGTATGATATTCTGCAGGGCAAAGGAGTTAGGACTACAACCTAGAATCACCTACCCAGCAAAACTGAGTATAATCCTTCAGGGTAAAAAATGGTCATTCAATGAAATAGGGGACTTTCAAGCATTCCTGTGGAAAAGACCAGAGCTGAATAAAAAACTTGACCTTCAAATACAAGACTCAAGTGAAACATGAAAGAGGTAAACAGGAAAGAGAAATCATAAGAGATTTATTAAGGTTGAACTGTTTACATTCCTGCAGGAAAAGATGATATTTGTAACTCATGAGTCCTTTGTCAGTATTAGGGTAATGGGAGGGGAAAAAATTATATGTATGTATAGATAGATAGAGGGCACAGGATGAGTTGAAGATGAATGGGTGATATCTGGAAAATAAAAGTAAGGGGTGAGAGAGGATTATACTGGGAGAAGGAGAAAGGGAGAAGTAGAATGAGGTAAAATATATCACATGAAACAGACAAGAAAAGGCTTTAACAGTGGAGGGAAAATGGAGGGAGGTGAGAGGGAATGAGTGAATCTTATTCTCATAGGATTTGGTTTAAGGAGGGTATAACATACACAGTAGGGCACGGAAATCTATCTTACCCTACGGGAGAATAAGGGGGAAAGAGGACAAGAGAGTAAGGGGTTGGTAGAGGAGAGGGCAGATTGGGGGAGGGGATAATCAAAAGCAAACACTTCTGAGGAGGGACAGGGTCAAAAGAGAGAATAGAATAAATGGGGGGTAGGATAGGATGAAGGGAAATACACTTAGTTTTTCACAACAGGACTACTATGGAAGTGTTTTGCATGACTACACATCTATAACCTGTACCGAGATGCTTGCCTTTTCAATGAGGGTGGGTTGGGAGGGAGGGAGAAAATTTGTAACCCAAAGTTTTAAAAACACGTGTTCAAAGTAAAAATATTTTAAAAAATTAAAAAAAAAAAGAAATGATGAAGGGAATGGTTTCATTAAAAACCTGGGAAGACCTGTATGAACTGATATAGAGTGAAGTGAACAGAACCGGAAAAATAATTTATATAATTACAGCAATATTATAAAGATAATCAACTGTGAAAGGCTTTGTAACTCATCAATATGATATTCAACCATAATTCCTAGGACTCATTATGAAACATGCCTTTTTCTACCTCTAGATAAAGAACTAATAAACTGAGGGTGAAGATTAAAGCATATTTTCTTCTATCTCTTTCTTTTTCTTGCCTTTTTTGGGAGGAAGATGGCTAATGTAGAAATTTGTTTTGCATGACTATACATATTTGCAATGGATTCTATTTTTCTTGGTTTCTCAGTGGGTTGGGGAGTGAGATGGGGGAAGGGAAAGAATTGGGAACTAATAAAATAAAATTGAATTTTAAAAAATAGGCTAGGAAGGGTTATAAAAGCTAAACAAAAGAGTTTACTTTTATTCTAGAAACAGTTGAGGGCCGTTCCAGTTGACTGAATAGAGGAGTCACATGGTTAGATCTGTGTTTAAGGAAAATCACTTGGATAATAGTGTGTAGGTTGGATCGTAATGGAAAGAGTTGAATTGGTGAGATGAGTTACAGAGGTGTTAGAATATTACAGATGAGAAGTGATGAGGGCCTAATCTAAGATCATAACTGGGTGAGTAAAGAGGAGTCAGATGTGTTAGATGTTTTGGAGGTAGAAGAGCAAGATTTGGAAAATTATTGGATATGTGAGGTGAAGGAGAATGAGTAGTACAGGCTAACTCCAAGGTTATGGACTTGGGAAACTAGAAGGATGGTGGCATCTTTAACAGAAATAGGTAAAAGTTTGAAGAGCACGGAGTTTGCAGGCATGAGTCAATGAAAGATAAAGAGTTTAGTTGTAAAAATATTTATTCTGAGACATCTCTGGGACATCCAATTTGAAATGTGCAATAGTTGATATAAAACTAAGGGTAAAAGAAGAAACTGGGCCTGGATATATAAATGTATAGATCTGTGAGTCGTTTGCACAGAGATGATAGTTTAACTAATGGGAACTAATATATCACTGAGAGAGAATATATAGCAGGACAGATTTCTCCAACTACCTATTAGATCCTTGGACTGGATGTCATGAAGACATCTTAAACTCAACGAGCCCAAAACTGAATTCTTTTATCTTTCCCCCTGCCCCACCTCCCCTTCCAAACTTCCCCACTGCTATCAAGGGTACCATCATCCTTCTAGTTCCCTTGGCATGCAACATAGGTGTCATCATCCACTTCTCACTATCTCTCACCCCCTATATCCAATCTGGTCCCAAGGTCTGTCTATTTCACCTTCATAATATCTTGTGAATATGCTTCTTTCTCTCTTCTAATAGTGCTGCCACCATGAAGCAGGCCCTCATCTCCTCATGCCTGGAACATTACAATAGCTGCTGCTAGGTCTGCCTGGCACAAGTCTCTCTCAACTCTAGTTTATCTTCCGATAAGCCACTAAAGTGATTTTCCCAAAGCACAGGTCCAAGATGTCATTGCTTTGCTAAACAAATTCTAGTGGCTCCCTATCACCTTTAGGATAAAATATAAAACCCCTTCTTTGGTGTTCAAAGCCCTACATAACCTAATTTCCTCCTTTCCATTTTTCTTATATCTCAAACCTCACTCCTTAGCTTCCTTCAAGTCCTAGTTAAAATACAGCTTTCTATAGGAAGCTGTTACCAATTCATCTTAATTCTAGTGCTTTCTCTCTGTTGATTATTTTTATATGTATATATGTATGTATGTATGTATTGTTTGTATATTTAATTGTTTGCATGTTGTCATATCCTCCCCCCATTAAATTGTGAGCTCTTTGAGGGCAGAAACTGTCTTTTGCCTTTCTTTGCCTGGCACATATTTGGTGCTTAATAAATATTTATTCACTGACTGACTGGTATCCACATAATATTAAGCCACCTCAATGGAATTCTCTAGGGCACTTAGTGGATATTAAATAGAGGATTGATGAGAGGACAGATAAGAACGACACATAAGAGAAAGTATGGATGATTGTGATCTCTACTAGTGGAGGGAATGCCTACATTGGTGCATTATTGATCCATTGAAATAAGGCAGTATTGTCCATGGACTAATATAATGTTTTAGTCCCAATTTTGGTTGGTTATTTCATTTTTTGGTATCTGTTGAGATGGTTATTAAGTTTTAAAGTAAAATTATTTATAAACAACAACCTACCTGACAGTTCTTTAAAGATGAAGAGAAACAGGTGTAAATAATCTTCTTCCTCATAACTAATACTATTTTCAGATCTTTTCCATTACCTTTTCCAACTCCTAAAGAGGAAAAAAAATAAAAGTTGTGTTCAGTTTATGGCAAAGAAGATATTTGTTGAGTTAAACTTAACCTCCTTGCTAATTAATTTTGTGGCTTAAAAAGGAGAAAAAAAGCAACTTATTCCAAGCAAAATTGTATTAATATTTGCTAATTTTGGTGGTTCTCTATTCCATCATTGTTAATTAAATAGAATTAATAAGATGCATTTTAGAATTCTTCTCCTCTAGCATTTTTTTTAGCTTTTATTTAGTATTTCATTTTTCCCCAGTTACGTGTAAAAACAATTTTTAACGTTGATTTTTAAAACTTTGAGTTTCAAATTCTCTCCTTTCCTCCCTCCCCACTGAGAAGGCAAGCAATTCTATATAGGTTATACATGTGTAGTCATGCAAAGCATATTCATAATAGTCACGTTGTAAAAGAAAACACAGGCAAGAAAAAAAATCTCAAGAAAAATAAAGTAAAAAAAAGTATGCTTCAATCTGTATTCAGACACCATCAGTTCTTTCTCTGGGAATGGATGGCATTTTCATCATAAATCCTTCAGCGTTGTCTTGGATCATTGTATTGCTGAGAATAGCTACATCATTCACAGTGATCATCTTATAATATTGCTGTTACTGTATAGCACAGTACATTTTATTTTGTGTCAGCTCATGCAAGTCTTTCCAGGTTTTTCTGAGAGCATCTTGCTCATCATTTCTTGTAGTACAATAATATTCCATCATAATCACATAACACAACTTATTCAGCCATTCCCCAATTGATAGACATCCCCTCAACTTCTAATTCTTTATCCCCAAGAAAGAGCTGCCATATTTTTTTTACATATAGGTCCTTTTCCTTTTTTTTTTTTTTAGATCTCTTTTGGATTACAGACCTAATAGTGATATTGCTAGGTCAAAGGATATGCATGCTTTTATAGCCTTTTGGGCATAGTTCCAAATTGCTCTACAGAATGATTGAATCCGTTCACAACTCCACCAACGGTGCATTAAAACCTCATTTTTTCCCAAGTCCTCTCCAATGTTTGCCATTTACCTTTTCTGTCCTATTAGCCAATCTAATAGGTATGAAGTAGTACCTCAGAATTGTTTTAATTTAATTTAATATTTAATTTAATTTATTTTTAATTTAAAATATAAATTTAAATCAAATTAATTAATTAAATTTATTTTTAAATTTTAAATTAAATTAAATCAAATTAAAATTTAATAATTTAATTTAATATTAAGTCAGAGTTTTGTTCATATGCTATAGATAGCTTTGATTACTTCATCTGAAAACTGATCATATGTTTTGGTCATTTATTAATTGAGGAATGGCTCTTACTTTTATAAATTTGACTCAGTTTTCTATATGTTTGAGAAATGAGGCCTTTATCAGAGAAACTTGCTTCAAAAAATTTTTTTGTATTTCCCTCCATCCTATGCCTCCTATTTATTCTATTCTCTCTCCTTTCACCCTGTCCTTCCTCAAAAGTATTTTGCTTCTGACTACCCCCTCCCCCAATTTGCCCTCCCTTCTATCACCCCCCCACCCTTGTCTTATCCCTTTCTCCTCCTACTTTCTTGTAGACTAAGTAAGATAGATTTCTATACCCAATTGAATGTGTATGTTATTCTCTCTTTGAGCCAATTCTTAAAACAGTAAGGTTCACTCACTCCCTCTCACCTCCCTCATCTTCCCCTCCACTGCAAAAGCTTTTTCTTACCACTTTTATGTTAGATAATTTACCCCATTCTACCTCTCCCTTTCTCTTTCTCCCAGTACATTCCTCTCTCTCACCCCTTAATTTTATTTTTTAAATATCATCCCTTCACATTCAACTCACACTTGCACCCTGTTTACATATACTCCTTCTAACTACCCTAATAATGAGAAAGGTCTTAGGAGTTACAAATATCATTTTCCCATGAAGGAATGTAAACAGTTTAAAGTTTAAGCTTATGTTTAAGTCTCTTATGATTTCCCTTTCCTGTTTACTTCTCTTGAGTCTTGTATTTGAAAGTAAAATTTTCTATTCAGCTCTGGTCTTTTCATCAAGAATGCTTGAAAGAACTCTATCACATTGAATATCAATTTTTTCCCCTGAAGGATTATTCTCAGTTTTGCTGGGTAGGTGATTCTTGGTTGTAATTCTAGCTCCTTTGCCCTCCAGAATATCATACTGCAAGTCCTCCAATTCTTTAATGTAGAAGCTGCTAAATCTTATGTTATCCTGACTGTGGCTCCACCATACTTGAGTTGTTTCTTTTTGGCTGCTTGCAGTATTTTCTCCTTGACCTGGGAACTCTGGAATTTGGCTAGGATATTCCTGGCAGTTTTCATTTTGGGATCTCTTCTGGGAGGTGATTGGTGGATTCTTTCAATTTCTATTTTATACTCTAGTTCTAGAATATTAGGGCAGTTTTCCTTGATAATTTCTTGAAAGATGATGTCTAGGCTCTTTTTTTGATCATGGCTTTCAGGTAGTCTGATAATTTTTAAATTCTCTCTCCTGGATCTATTTTCCAGGTTGGTTGTTTTTCCAATAAGATTTTTCATGTTATTTTTTATTTTTTTTCTTTCTTTTGGTTTTGTTTTATTGTTTCTTAATTTTTCATAAAGTCATTAGCTTCCATTTGCTCCATTCTAATTTTCAAGGAATTATTTTCTTCAGCGAGCCTTTGGATCTCCTTTTCCATTTGGCCAATTCTGCTTTTTAAGGCATTCTTCTCATTAATTTTTTGGACCTCTTTTATCATTTGGCCTTGTCTATTTTGTAATGTCTAATTTTCTTTAATATTTTTTTTGTGTCTCCTTTACCAAGCTGTTGGCTCGTTTTTCATGATTTTCTTGTATCACTCTCATTTCTCTTCCCAATTTTCCCTCTACCTCTCCTTCCTTGATTTTCAAAAACCTTTTTGAGTTCTTCTATGGCCTGAGACCAATTCATATTTTTCTTGGAGGCTTTGGATGTAGGAGCTTTGACTTAGTTGTCTTCTGAGTGTGTTTTGATTTTCCTTGTCAACATAGAGCTTTCTATAGTCAGCTTTTTTTTCTGTTGTTTGCTGATTTTCCCAGCTTATTAGCTGACTTTTTACTCTTTGTTAAAGTAGGTCTTTGCTTCCAGGGTGGAGGGTGCACTGACCCAAGTTTCAGGGGGTTTGTGCAGCTGTTTTCTGAGATATTTCTAGGGATCTGTAACTTTTCAGTCCTTCCGAGGTGGTATGATCTAAAGAGAGGCATTTATTATTTTCTTGGCCTTTGTTCTTGTCTGTGAGTGACCACAAGCACTCTTTTCTGTCCTGGAACTGTGAGGAGGGTCCCTACTCCACTGCTACCATAAGCTCTGCTCTGCTAGTGCTCCTGCTTGCCCCAGGACTACCACCCAAGATTTCAACCCAGATCCAGATATGGCCAAAGCAACAGAATCCTGCCTCAATGCCAGCAAAGAGACTCCTGTAATCTCCTTCTGACCAGTTGTTTGATCCCCTTCCTGTCTGTGGGCTACTCTGGGAGCAGCTGCTTCCATTGCTGCCTCTGATTCAGTCACTCTCAAGGCCTGCTCCTGGTTTACTGGATCCGGGGCTGTGTTGGCACAGCCTGTGCTGGACTGCACTCTTCTCTCACCCAGGTCCAACAGGCCTGTTCTACTGACCTTCTAAGTTGTTTTTGGCATCTGTGGGTTGAGAAGTCTGGAAACCACCACTGTTGCCAGTGATTCAGTTGCCCTGAGGCGTGCTCTGGGTTTGCTGGGGTCAGGTCAGATCTGCACTAGTGCATCCTCTGCTGAACTGCACTCCTCTCTCACCCTGATGCAACAGACCTTTCCTGCTGAACTTCTAAGTTGTCTTGGGCTGGAAATTTATTTTGCCCTGCCTTTTTGTGGGTTCTGCTGCCCTAGAATTTGTTTAGAGTCATTTTTAAAGGTATTTGGAGGGGTTTGGGGGAGAGCTCAGGTGAGTCCCTGCTTTCACTCAGGCATCTTGGCTCCGCCCCTACTCTAGCATTTTAGAGGCAGCTAGGTTGTACGGTGGAGAAAGTGCTGAGCCTGAAGTCAGCACTACTACTTCAAATTCAGTCTCAGATACTTAATAGCTAGATGATCCCAGGCAAATCACTTAACCTTTTTGCCTCAGTTTCCTCAATTGTTAAAAGAGGATAATAACAACATCTAGATCATAGAGCTGTGAGGATCAAATGAGATAATATTTGTGAAGTGCTTAGCACAGTGCCTGGAATGTAGAAGATACTATATAAATGCTTTTTTCTTCCCTTCCTTTTTACTTCCAGACAGGGATTGAATGCCAATTATACCTATCCTGTTTAGACAAAAGAAACAAACAAACAATAAAAAAAAAGTCTTAAAAGGAGATTTCACCTCTGGAGAAAGTTGAATGAGGATAGAAAGAAATATACCTTTTTCTCAGTGGTCCATGGCACCTACATAAAAACTTACCATGTACTAGGGCATAAAAACCTCACAATCCAATGCAGAAAGGCAGAAATATTAAATGCAGCCTTTTTAGACTAATATGCAATAAAAACTATATGTAATAAATATTATATTTATATGTATATTTTATATATAATATATATATACATATATAATATATGTAATAAAAGACCATGGAAAGATAGCCTAAAAATTAATTGGATAATCTAATCCTAAAGAATGAGTGGGTCAAACAACAAATCATAGAAACAATCAATAACTTCATCCAAGAGAATGACAATAAAGAGAAAACATACCAAAATTTATAGGATGCAGTGAAAGTGGTTCTTAGGGGAAGTTTTATATCTCTAAATACTTACATGAATAGAATAGAGAAAGAGGAAATTAGTGAATTGAACATGTAACTTAAAAAAGCTAGAAAAAGAACAAATTAAAAATCTCCAATTAAATACCAAATTAGAAATACTGAAAACCAAAGGAGAGATTAATAAAATTGAAATTTAGAAAACTATTGAACTAATAAATAAAACTAAGAGCTGGTTTTATGAAAAAACCAATAAAATAGATAAATTTTTGGTTAATTTGATTTAAAAAAAAAAAGAAAGAAGAAAACCAAATTACCAGTATCAAAAATGAAAAGGGTGAATTCACCACCAATGAAAAGGAAATTAAAACAATAATTAGGAACTATTTTGCCCAACTGCACACCAATACATTTGACAGTCTTAGTGAAAAGGATGAATGTGTACAAAAACGTAAATTGCCCAGATTAACAGAAGAGGAAGTAAAATACTTAAATAACCCCATCTCAGAAAAAGAAATTGAACAAGCCATCAATGAACTCCCTAGGAAAAAATCTCCAGGGCCACATGGATTTACAAGTGAATTCTATCAGACATTTAAAGAACAATTAATTCCAATACCATATAGACTATTTGGGAAAATAGGCAAAGAAGGAGTCCTAACAAATTCTTTTTATGATACAAATGTGGTACTGATACCTAAACTGGGAAAAGTCAAAACAGAGAAAGAAAATTATAGACCAATTTCCTTAGTGGAATATAGATGCAACAATTTTAAATAAAATATTAGCAAATAGATTACAGCAACTTATCACAAGAATAATACACTATGACCAGATAGGATTTATACCAGAAATGCAGGACTGGTTCAATATTAGAAAAACTATCAGCATAATTGATCATATCAACACCAAAACTAACAGAAACCATATGATCATCTCAATAGATGCAGAAAAAAACTTTTGACAAAATACAACACCCATTCTTATTAAAAACACTAGAGAACACAGCAATAAATGGAGCCTTCCTTAAAATGATAAGTAGCCTCTACCTAAAACCATCAGCAAGCATTATATGTAATGGGTATAAAATGGAAGCACTTCCAATAAGATTGGGGGTAAAACAAGGATGTCCTTTATCACTACTGTTATTCAATATAGTACTAGAAACATTAACCTTAGCAATAAGAGAAGAAAAAGAAATGGAAGGAATTAGAATAGGCAAAGAAGAAACAAAGCTATCTCTGTTTGCAGATGATATGATGATATACTTAGAGAATCCTAGAGAATCAAGTAAAAAACTACTTGAAACAGTAAACATCTTTAGCAAAGTTGCAGGATATAAAATAAACTCATATAAATCATCAGCATTTCTATATATTACTAACAAAGCCCAATAGCAAGAGATAGAAAGAGAAATTCCATTTGAAGTTACTATAGACATTATAAAATATTCAGGAGTCTACCTGCCAAAACAAACCCAGGAACTATATGAACACAACTATAAAACACTTTTCACACAAATAAGGTCAGATCTAAATAATTGGAAAAACATCAGTTGCTCATGGGTAGGCTGAGCTAATGCATAAAAATGGCGATTCTACCTAAATTAATTTACTTATTCAGTGCTATACCAATCAAGCTACCAAAAATTATTTTATAGAGCTAGAAAAAATAATAACAAGATTTATTTGGAAAAACAAAAGGTCCAGAATATCAAGGGAATTAATGAAAAGAAATGCAGGGGAAGGTGGCCTAACCATATCAGATCTTAAATTGTATTATAAAGCAGCAATCATCAAAACTACTTGGTACTGGCTAAGAAATAGAGTGGTGGATCAGTAGTATAGGTTAGGTACCCAAGACACAGTAGTCAATGACTATAGTAATCCACTGTTTGATAAACCCAAAGACCCCAGCTTCTGGAATAAGAACTCACTATTTGACAAAAACTGCTGGGAAAACTGGAAGAGTATGGCAGAAACTAGGCATAGACCAAAATCTTACACTGTATACCAAAATAAAGTCAAAATGGGTACACAATTTGTTGTGTAAAACTTGCACTTAGTCAAAATGCTATACCCAAGGACCTAGAAGGCCACATAAGGCCTTGAGGGTGCAGGTTCCCCTGTATAGGAGTTCCAATTAAAGAGAAGAGATAATGGAGATGGAAAGTCTAATTAGAAGGCTTTTTTTTTCTGATGAGGCAATCAATAAGTGACTTGCCCAGGGTCACACAACTAGTGTCAAATGTTTCAGGCTGGATTTGAACTCAGGTCTTCCTAACCCCAGGGTTGGTGCTCTATCCACTGTGCCACCTAGCTGCTCTTTACTTAATATTTATTTAGCTATGTATACTAGCTACATATGTACATATACACATACATGAACACGTATATAGATATAGAACATATTTGTAACCTAATTCAAATGATAAGATTTTTCTCTTTCCTAACCTTCAATTATATTAAACACATTTACCTTGAATTGAATAAATTGTGATGGATTTTATCCTGAGTGTTTGACTTTGAGGCAAAGCCCAATGGTACTTGTTCTTTACCAGGGCAAAATATTCAACATATCTGCTCTGTAACACAAGAGACAGGTCAACGTAAGTGAAGAAAAAGTCTAAAATAACCATTCCCAGTTTATCTACAAGTAACTTATGTCCTAGTAAGCAAGGATTTATAGAGCAAACACCTTGAAATTTTTAATAAGGGCAAGGGGAAGCTACAAGGAAGGAGATAGCCTTTGCCTTTTTAAAGGTTTATGATCAATGGGAGAGATAACAAGAAAGAATAAACCTAAGTGGAAAAATACATGTAATATGTAGTTGTTGTTCATCCTTTGTTCTCTCATCATGAGGGTGATGTATTGACTTACCCATGAATTGGATTTAAGGGAGGCAGAGTTGGACAAAGTTGTCAGCCTCACTCTTTCCTCCAGCGTCATTGGAGTCGAGTTAACAAGACTTAAGTCAAGACGACTGGTGAGGGCTGAAGTTGCAGTGGATGGCCTTGGCATTTCTAAATTAAAAGTCTTTCCCAGGCCTCAGTTTGTCTGTGGCAATGCCCATTCAATGACTAAAGACTAGGTAAGAATTGAGACAAAAGATGGCCTAATTTACCATTACAATAATATCAATCTGGAGGGGAAGACCCTCAGAGTTTCTGGCCAGAACAAAAAACAATTGTTATTTACACTCATTCTGATCAATATACTCATTCTAAACAATAAGACTTACAGGCTTGGACTGGGGCTATTATTGGCCATTCAATGAAAGCCAGAGTGATTTAGGTTTAAAGGCTAGTCAAATAGTTCCATACAAAATCAAAAGAAACGTGGAAGTATATACACAACTAATTTCATGATGGCTAAGGCTTGCTGAAACTTTGAAATGATCAAAGATTGTGGGGGAAGTTCTTCAGAAGAACATTTCTGATAATGAGATTATTATGATTATGAGATCTTATCTTGGTCAAACTCCAAATCCAGGCCTGAACTGATTTTATCCTACTCAGGTTGGAGTGTCACAGATTCCCAAGACTGGGGGTGATATTTCTTTTGGTGGTGGTTGATATCAACCCCTGTTTAAGAAGCTACCTAAGTCACATACTTAAGACCTTATTTTAATATATCCCATCTCCTAGTATGTTAACCAATTGTGATAGATTGGCACCCCTTTCGAACACCTACTCTTCAAAGGCATGTAACTCTGCATCCCCAAGTCCCAAATTGAGCCAGTTCTAAACTGGTCCCCTTAAAAGTGTTGAGGTTTAGGGGTGCTGGGACCCCAAAATCACAACATGCGGGTCCTGCCCAAAAGAATTCAATCCAAGCCTTCTTTCAGCCAAAGACAAGGTTTATTAGAACATCCATCATATTGGGCAGACTCTTAAGGAGTCTGAACATTAGTGAGCTATTGGTTAAGTTGTAAGAATCTGAGCACCTTAATGAAGACAAGATGGACCTTATATACAGAAAGACTGTGGGAGAGATCTAGGAGTGGCCAAGTAATCTGCCGGGACTGTGAGGTAATAGAATGCCAGGGACCTGGAGAATGCCAAAGGAGAATTAAGCCTAGCTAGGATTAAGGGTGGGAAGTGGCTGGGGGCCATAGTAAGGAAAGACAATGGAGGACTAGGCTAGTTTAAGGGTAACAGAACTGGGAGATTGGGTGTAGGCATAACAAAAGGCCAAACTGATGAGATTATAGCCTCAGGCTAACGCCAGAGATTTGGCCATGTGGGAAAGTCCAGAGTTTTTCCTTTTTGGGGTCTAGATCCTATCCTCATTGGTGGGGGCCCAGTTTTGGACTTGTAAGAAAGATTTTAGGGGGTTAGGCTTCTACAGCAGGATAAGAAATTCCAAGATCTTGTGGATAGTCCGTCAACCAATCAGAAAGTGTACCAAAGGTTCTGTAAATAATTAGTTCCTTAAGAAAGAACCCTGGAGGCTAAACCACTTGCAAGGAAGGGTTCAAGGACGGGCCTGGACAGGGCAAAGGCCTTTCTCCACTGCACTTGCTTAATAAGCTTATTAAATATTAACTGACACACCCTGAGGGTGGAGATAGCCGCCATTTTTTATCATGGGACCCATGAAGTGGGTGGAGTTAACAGAACATGGAAGAACATGCAATGGGCTGTCCAGGAAGAGTGTAGCTCAGATGAACTAGCCCTGGTGGGTGGAGTATGGATCTTACTAACTGCTTAAAAAGTTGATTGTACCACTGAACCAGCACCCACGTGCTACTAAAGTGCTCGCGTTGTGCCCACTTCTCTTGTGAAAAGCGTAATAAAGGCTTTCCTTCCTTCACTCACTCACTGTAGTAGATTTTTGTTTCAGATTTTTCTAGTAAGACTGAACTTCCATGCAATAAGAGTCAAGCCAGTTTGAGAGAAATTTCACTTTGGACACACGCACCCTAATCTCATTTGTCTCTTTCTTAGAACAGACTCTGTAATAAGTTGGGATTCAACAATGATAAACAGCTTCAAAGAAGGGATGGTTAGGTAAAGAAGAGAAGGGTATCTTAGGAATGTAAAACTATATAGTTAAAAATTTGGAAAAAGGGATAAACAAAATTCTTTCTCATATCTACTGTGTTTCTAATGTTCCAACCTAACTGTGATTTCATTCTGTCAGTCCAGCATGGCTAAGCATTCTCTCTTGCTCCTTGACTCCTCTTTTCACCCCCAGTGATTGTTCTACCACTGATAAGTATACATGGATCTATTTAATCACAGAGCTCCCAGCACTCATGTGAGGGAGCACTAGTAATCCATTTACAATTATCCCTTCCACATCATGAGAGTTAGGGGCATAGTGCCCCCACGATCTGGAAAATCTCCATAAAATTTTTTGGCCTTCCTTTTGTTTCAGAGAAGAAGTCTATATTATCATGGTATTAAAAGGTAAAATATGTTGATACTATACAATATTATACATGTATTTTGTACACTTCTGAGTTTCTAAGCTTTTTCTGTGTTGTTTTCTGGCCTTGGCTTGTACAAAACTCCCCCAAAATTCCCATTTAAATTCTTATGCTGGCCCACAATCTATCAAAACCGCAATGGGGAAAGTGGCAACGTGGAAGGGCTGACTGTAATTGCTTTCAATATTAGCCCAAGCATTAGTACACCCTGCTTCTGCCTTTGGTACTGAGATGGTGGATGATACTGAGAAAGTGGTGCTCTAAGTAGCAGACTCCAGCATAAGGCTACCTGTCACTTGGATGCAGACCCTCTTCATCTCATACCTGGGCCGCTGCAATAGGCGGGTGGTTGTTTTCCCTGACTCAAGTCTCTCTTCACTCACATCGTCTTCCCCTCTGATGTCAAAGTGAACTTCCTAAAGCTCAGGACTGACTATGTCACCCCCTTACTCAACAAATTTTAATGGCTTCCTATTACCTCCAGGATCAATAAAATTCGTTGTTTGGAATTTAAAGTCCTTCACAACCTGGTCCCCCACCTTCCTACTCTTCTTATACTTTACTCCCCTACATGCACTTCATAATTTGGCTACTAGTACTGGCCCGATTTCTGTAACTCACACATGATGGCACAATTTTCCAACTCTGCCAAATTCTACAGACTGTTCCCCAGGCCTGGAACTTTCTTCATTCTCACTTCATCCTTGTGGCTTCCTGGCAATCCTTTAAAGCTAAACTTAAAATCCATTTTCTGCAGATCTTTAACTTCTCTATCACCCACCTCAACCATGCTAATGTCTTCCATTTCCATTGTATATATGTGTATGTACATAGATATCTGTAGATTGTTTCTTCTTTAAAGGCACAGCACATTGCCTTTCTTCGTATCTCTAATACTTGTTAGCATATTGCTTAGCCAAAGGTAAATTCTTAGTAAAATTCTTGTTGATTGACTGACTGATTTGGCTATATAGCAATAATCCTAGTACCATTATGCCAGGAATGGACTATTCTAGAAAGCAAATCCCAACAGGCAGAATTCTAGCCCCTGGGCATTCTGCTTAGAGGCTTGGGATCTTTATTGTTGTTGTTATTTTTACCTTAGATCTCCTTATCTCACCCAGATTGAAGGTATAGTGC